AGACTGACTCCCACGTAATGCCTCACTAGGGGTGACTGGGAAGTGGGGATAGAAGAATAATGGGGGTAAAGGGGAGAGGAAACGCTATAGCGTATAGAAAGAGCCTGGGCTATTAGACCCAGCAGTAGCTGTGCTAATATCAGCTGTTCATAACAGGTCGGGCTCAGGAGGACAGGGTACGAGATTTTGAATTCCTAAAGATCTCTGAAGCTCAGATTTATTGTAATAACAGAATTTATATTTTAGTTTCTGAAAAGCCTTTCTAATTTGATTTTTTTAATAATAAATGCTAAATCTCATGGTCTGTCCGATGTCCACTGTCGTGTCACAGTCATCCTGGCACAAAACGTAAGTGTTCATTACTATACATATAGTACAATTTTTTTTTTATCGTTGTTTTCAGTTTTTTAGTTTAGTTTTTATGTACATATTAAGGATAATATCCAGTTAAAAATGGCCAAGTTTGATTCCGTGTGTGTCGCTTCATTAGCAACGGTTCTGTCTAATTCTGCATATGTACTTTCCCTCAAGTCTAGAGTTACAAATAGAATAAAACCTCAAATGTATGTAAAATATATGTTCAGGTGTTGCACCAATCAGTAGTACAAAAATTAATACTCTTATGTTTATATTAAATAAAAATGTCACTATAAATTTAAGTAATTTAAATTTTATAAATTTGAAACTTTTATCTCTTTCCAGGAATAATTCTCCAGTACTCATTTTTGGCTGTATTTTTTTGGCTGAATGTAATGTGCTTGGACATATGGAGAGTAATTAAGTAAGTTAAGAGAATAGATGAATATATTAGTCTGTTAGGTTGAAAGTCTATCGTTTGTATGTGATTCATTAAGTGTACAATTGACATCTAAGCAATTATTCAGAACATTTTATTAAATTAATCATTAACTATCAGTGTATGAACAGCGAGAGAAGCCTCTCGGTGGATACACACAGATACTGTACACACCTGTCGGTCTGTGTAATTACCTGTTTATAATTACGGAAACAGTTATCTTCGTTGTCTCTCTTCTTTATTAATTTGTTCATACATTGTTTTAAATTCCAATTTAAAACAAATTCATTTCATTGGTCTACCACTGAGAAGAAAAACTTGTAGTATTCCTCTGGTTTCACTTTTTCTTCAATGTACATCTATTGCAGAGCTCTTGTTATCCCTGATGCAGGTACTAAGATGTCATGCCGTTTTATGTTATATGGTTATGTTTCATCTTTTCATCCTATCAGCCAGCGTAGACATAGTGCGTTTTCAGCTAGTTATTATAACTTTTTTATCTGCCACTTTGTATATCTTGGAAACTTTTCTAGCTTGTCCACTATTTTTAGGCATGGGCATCCCATCAAAGTTGCATATTCCAGTTTCAATCAGTCTTGGAAATATATTTTTCCAGCATTTCTCCAGCCATATATTTAACATATATTCAAAAGATCTTTTCATGTAATTCGCCAGAGACGCATAGGAGTTTCTCTCCTCTTCTCCTTCTCCTTGATTCCCCGGTACCTCCTCCCGGCCCGGGTCTTTTCCAGATGGTGACCCGGCCGACCCGGCCTTGGCTCTGTCTTAGGAGTCTCTGAGACCTACGTCTATGGGAGGAGGTACAAATATCCTCATCTCATCACAGCTATGTTTATGTCCACGAAAATTTTTTTTATAATAGTTCCTTTCTTTGTTTTTTTTAGTTTTTTTAAACACAGTTATCCTTTTTTTATATCCTTCTTCTGTAACCTATTTACTTTCTTTTTTTTCCTTTGCGTGTTATTTCCTCTTTAAAATTCCATCCTCATCACTCATTTTTGGCAATGTACCTTGTTACCCAAAAAGAAATTTAAATTCAAAAATTTTTTTGTCCCTAAAATTTTGCATATCGGCAAAACATCAGATTTTTTTTCCCTGTGATAAAAATTCAATAACTAAGAACTTTTATAGGGGCAAGTAAGATCTTGTAAAATGCATGGTATAAACACAAGATGCTTTGTCTCGGTGTACTTACAACCATATTTTTTTAAAGGGGGAGGACCGGTAAGCCGCTAAAGGGGCCCTGGGCCCCAGATGACCAAAACTTAGCTGTGGGTCATATTTGTTTAAAGCCCCCGCTTCAAAACGCTTGTTTCCTGACAAACCTTACTTACATAATCGGTGTACACCTAGCTACCCCACCTCCGGTGATATAAAAGGGAAAAATACAACTCTTCGGTGTAATACTCAGTTTCACGCCTGTACTTGTGAAATAAAAATCATTAATTAAAATTATCACGAGGTTTTTCCCCCGCTCATTGATATGAACATTTTTCTTGAGGCGATTTTAGTCCATGATCCGCCCCATGGATGTTTTGATTTTTTTGGCGAAGTATTTCACTGGTTTACAGATAAAACTCAGAAAAATCCAATACGTTCTTTCATAAACTTTACTACTGTGTGTATGAAGGATTCCTCTAAAATATCCCACAAAAACAGTAAAAAGGAATACGGGCCCCCCCTTGACATCAGTGATATTTGTAGGAAAAACCCTTTTTTTACAAATTTTACAAATTAGGTCAGTTTTTTCCAAGGGGCCCCCACCCAAAAATTTTTAAAAGGGCATTTTTTTTTTGGGGAAAAAAATTTTGGTTAGGGCTTTTGGAAAACCCCCCTTGTGTTTTTCCCCCTTTTTAAAAAAAAACCCCCCCCCCCTTTTTAAGGGGGGGGGAAAAACGAGGGACGGGGAAAAATTCCCCCCTTTTGAAAAACCACCCCCCCCAAAAAAAAAAATTTTTGGTTTAAAAAGTTTTTTAATTGTTAACAGGTGTTTTTTATTTTTCATTTTTAAAATTTTAAAACCCCAAAATTTTGAAAAGAAAAAAAGGGAAAACTGGGGGGTTTTTATAAGAAGTTTTTAAGATTAATTTAATTTTTTTGAAAATAAAATTTTAAAAAAAGGCCCCTTTTTTAAAAAAAATAAAATTTCCCCGGAAACCCAAAAAAAAAAACCCCCCCGGGGAAAAAAAAAAATATCCTATTGGTGGGGGGGTTGTAAAGGGGGTTTTGGGTTCTAACCTTCCAACCGCGCCCCTTAATTTGCCAGAATTTAGAAAGGGGTTTTTGGCCCCGAAGATTTAAATTTAAAAACCCCAAAACCTTTTTTATTTTTTGGATTTTGGGAAATATTTTTGTTTTGGTTTTTGATCGTTTTTTTAAAATTTTAACGGGGAAAAATTTAAAATTTTTAAAGAGTCCCATTTTAAGGGTTTTTTGAAAACTCATTTTAAAAAACAAAAGGCTAATCATCGAATAAATTTTTAAAAGCAAAATTTTTTTTTAAATCTCAAATTAGTAAACCCTTAAAGCTTTTGCTTCCGGGGCCTTTTTTAAAAATTTTTTAACCCCAAAAAAAAAAAGGTTTTTCAGATAAAAACACCCACAGTTAAAAAAAATTAAAATTTTAAATTTAGTTTAAGCGACGTGATTCGCTTACTATGAGACCTGGTCACAGACCGGGCCGCGGGGGGCGTTGATCCCTGAAACCCTCTCCAGGTATACGACAGAGTGTAGACTGATACAGTATACACCAGTACATGCTATCTTAACCAGTTAATCGAATCAAGTGTTCAAGACAAGGGGATTGAGACTCGAGGAAGGCAGATTCAGGCTTACAATCATAAAACAGACAGATAAATACCCGTTAAACAGTTTAGATAGAGCTCTCTAAATTTTAATTAGGTTGCCACCATGTACTTTCTATAGGTTTGTTCCTGGATGTGTGCTTGCAGTGAAGATCACCTGGGATAAGGTATGTTCTGACGATTTTGTGTTTTTCTTCTTGTTTTATTAGTAAGCATTCAATTATCCGTAATTCTATGTAAATACCAAACATACATCCGTCACTTTTATTTATACTCCTAGCGTTAATGTTATTCCAGCGATTTAACACCCTGAATGAAATATATATATATATATATATATATATATATATTATATATATATTATATATATATATATTAATATATATATTATATATATATCTATCAAAAAGAAGCGCTCAACTTTCAAGGGTAGAGTGGACACAGAGGAAGAGTTAGTAAGGGCTGTATTACGAACACGGGTAAAGTATGGCCTGCGACTTGGTCGTAATGGGTTTCAAATTTGGAACAAACAAACTTAGCAATATTATATGACTTATATCCTTCACCAGATATAATTTGCCAAATATAACAAGCATGTACACTTACAGAGGTTGAATAGTAAGTGTTCCAAAACGGTGACAAAAAAAATGGCAAAAGTAGAAGCCAGAGAGTGCACCGTAATCAACCAGTAACTCTGGCAAATTTGTCAATTCGTTATCTTTGTAACAGGGAATATATATATATCCAGTTATATATTCATAATAACACAGTATTTCCAGTATTAAATACAGTCAAATAATAAGTCTCGCTTTTGTCTTTTTAAGTATAAATCAAAGGAACATTTATAGGGAGGTACGTAGGTCTTATACTATAAAATAAATTCAGTAACGTTTCATTTATTTATTTTACAGGTGATAAAGAACGCTTGGCACACTTTTATGGCATAGTGGCGCTGCTGTTTGTGATGAATATGCTTCTATTAGGACATACCGTTATCATGCTGTATAAAGCTGGAAGTGCATTTCGGTGCTTTGCAAGCCAGGTCACTGTTAGTGCATTTAACCGAAATCATCTTGAAGGGTATGTTATTAATTCTATGTAATAACAGTATTTTCATTACTGTTAAGAGACAGACAAAAATGTACAAAATACTGTACATCAAAGCAATTTACACCCATTACTCACCATATGTAGTAATTCTGGAAAAGGAATAAAATCGGAAGCTGTGTTCTTGTAACTAGAGATACCGATCATACATCTTGCCAGCATTCACTGCTCTGAAGCTTTATACTGTATAAACTTCAACCTTTCTCAATAGGTTTGGACATCATTAATTCAACTTTAAAGCAAAATTTTACTGGAAGAGGCTACTTTGATCATGCAACTGCCTCTTGGCAGTTGCATGATTGAAAAATATATTACATATTAAAATGTGATGCTATTTGGACACTTCGAGAAATTTCGAGGGAGGGGGGATGTGAACAGCCGGGGGAGTGACGCCGGGGGACGCCATTTTGTAATTTGTGAGCACTGATTGTCGCTGAAAATTTTGCTAATAATTCGGCGTCTTCCGAGCCAGACTGGGGGGTTTGGGCCTGAATTTGTAATAGGAACCCGTGTTAATGTCCCCTGCTGAAGAATTAGGCTAGGAATTTGCGGGACCTCAAGAATTACGTGTGGATGGCAGAAAATAAGGGATACGACCATCACTCACAGGGAAGTGTGCCATTAGTCCTTGCGTTTAGATCTCTAACTGGCCAGTGTAGGGTCTAGGTGTTGTGGTGTGATCCATCTACAGTAATGAAATGGTAAGTGGTAATACGAATTTTGTGTACCCAGCAAGCTTAATCATATACAGTCCACAATTTTAAATTGCCAGAGTAGCTGGTTTTAATACTGTAATTAATTTAACGAAAATAAGAAAAAAAAATTGGAGTAAGTTAAACAAGTTAAGAAAGCCTAGAGAACGTATGGATTTGTCAGTTAAAAACAGAGTAGGGGAGTTAGTAGATGAGAAGAGGGAGGTATTAGGTAGATGGCGAGAATATTTTGAGGAACTTTTAAATGTTGAGGAAGAAAGGGAGGCGGTAATTTCAAGCACTGGCCAGGGAGGTATACCATCTTTTAGGAGTGAAGAAGAGCATAATGTAAGTGTGGGGGAGGTACGTGAGGCATTACGTAAAATGAAAGGGGGTAAAGCAGTTGGAACTGATGGATCATGACAGAAATGTTAAAAGCAGGGGGATATAGTGTTGGAGTGGTTGGTACTTTTGTTTTAATAAAAGTATGAAAGAGGGAAGGTACCTTGGGATTGGCGTAGAGCAAGTATAGTCCCTTTATATAAAGGGAAGGGGACAAAAGAGATTGTAAAAATTATGGAGGAATAAGTTTGAGTATAACAGGAAAAGTGTACGGGAGGGTTATTATTGAAAGAATTAAGGGCAAGACAGAATGTAGGATTGTGGATTGAGCAAGGAGGTTTAGAGTGGGTAGGGGATGGTAGATCAACTGTTTACATTGAAGCATATATGTGAACAGTATTTAGATAAAGGTAAGAAAGTTTTTATTGCATTTATGGATTTAGAAAAGGCATGTGAGAGTGGATAGGGGAGCAATGTGGCAGATGTTGCAAGTATATGGAATAGGTGGTAAGATACTAAATGCTGTAAAGAGGTTTTATGGGGATAGTGAGGCTCAGGTTAGGGTGTGTAGAAGAGAGGGAGACTACTTCCCGGTAAAAGTAGGTCTTAGACAGGGATGTGCAATGTCACCATGGTTGTTTAATATATTTATAGATGAGGTCGTAAAAGAAGTAAATGCTAGGGTGTTCGGGAGAGGGGTGGGATTAAATTATGGGAAATCAAATACAAAATGGGAATTGACACAGTT